TCTGTACCCACATCTGACAAATCTTTTCTCAGTTCCTCAGCAGTCACACGGGGACTTCTCTCCACTCTACGCTTCAGGTAGCGCACAGCAGTCGAAGTCAGCATCTTCTTTCTGCCACGACCAGGTAGCGTTTCAACAGTGCCCTTTGCCTTGAATTTGCGAATGATGCTTCCTAAGGTGTCTCTTGGTATGTTTAACATCTTTGCAATCTTCTTATAGCCATTGCCCTTCCTGTGAAGAGAAATCACCTCTTCTCTTGTCTTCCTGGACCATTCTCTTGCCTTCACCATGTTTGTAACCACACCAGTAAATGTCTAGAAGGAGCTGAGTATCACAGTCATTTTAAAGCTGCCTAATTGGTGCTTATTATGCTTGATTGCTGCTCGGTGACATCCACAGTGTTTTCAATACCTGATGGAAAGCACCTGTATGAACCTCTGTTCTTCAGAGTGGTAGTCTTTAAGGGGTTGAATAATTGTGGCAATGAAGAAACACATAAGAACCATTTACTACTGTATTACATAAACAATTGATGTCATTTTAGTTGCATTTGGGTAGTTACAACGTCCTTGTAGGATTTGATTCTGAATACAATTCCAAATGTTTATAGTCCCTAAACCCCTTTACAGCATTGGGGGTTGAATAATTTTGGACACAACTGTATATTCATGTACCTTTAAAATGTGACAATAGGAAAATCGAAAATGATATATATGATGCAGTCTGTTAAAACACAGCAGTTTTTTTTCCCCTGAATCCACCCTGCAGTATAGGTTTTTACCTGTTGTAGTGGATCCTTTACTTTTCCACTTCCTTTAATGGGTTAACAGCATTGTTGCTTCTGAAATGAACCCTGTAGAGAGGGTAGTCATAGACTGACACGTAGTTTTACGTGGAAATCAACCACTTTTATACCAGACAGCTTATAATTTTTCACACACAAGTTAAAATCTTAAATAAAGGAATGCGCTAAAACCACAAACTATTCCTAATTTAGTGTAGAAACATTAGTGCAAAAGGACCGCCCCTTGAAGACGTCATTCATGACGAAACTAGTAGGGCTTGGCTTGCTGGATGCTGACGTCTGTGGAGAGGATTGAGTCACGAGCGCTGTAGTGAGTGTGCGGGGAACAGGAGACTGTTATACCATTTGCTGTTTTATGCTGTTATACTGGTGTCGGTGAAGACACCCTTTTTGTGAGTGTAAATCTTTATTAAATTGTTGGATACTTTTATAAAAAAACTGGCTGCACCATGATTTTCTCTTTCATTCCCAAACATGACCTCGGTGGAGAGATATAAAAAGAGAGAGTGATATAATGCTCCTGGAACCGTTATATTTGAGTGGTGGATACCTACCTTATGGATGATTGTGTAGTTATTGATCATCACACCTGAGAAGTTGATTCATTGCATCTGCTCCCAGAGCAAAAAGCGTTTTTTGCTGATCTAGAGATTGATCAGCATGGAGCTCTGGTGAGTTACCCAACTTTACTTTGGTGGTGGATTTTGGCACAATTTCTTTGAGAGCACCTGAATTTGAAAAGAATTTGTTTGGACATTTGAAGAAATTCAGAATTGGACATTTTTTTATATTCACAAATTTAATTATTTAAATTACTTATGCACTAAAAAATAGTTTTGCACATAATTTTGATATTTTTTGATATTAATTGAGAATAGATATATATATCTCTTTTGCACTAATGTTTCTACACTAAATTAGGAATAGTTTGTGGTTTTAGCGCATTCCTTTATTTAAGTTATAGCACTAAGAAATTTATTTGGTTTCTTTGAGGTGGAATTGCTGCTTTAAAGTATTAAGGGTGTGGCGCTTTTATTACACTTGTGATATTGTTAAGTTAAAATCTGCACTTTCTGGTAGAAAATGTCTTTAAACCCCAAACAATTATATATTTTCTGAAATCGGAGGCCCTGTTAAATAAAATGGTGGATTTGTACAGCTGTTTATCAAACTTATATTTTAGGGAAAAATACACTAAAATGAGGTTTAGTGTGTGTACAGACACAATATAATACCCACTTTTTTGTAAAATATAAAAGATAGGGCTGCACTGAGTAAATAGATACTAAACATAATTTACATTTGTGCACACCTACCGAATGGACAAAAGTTAAAGCCACACTCAGAATTGTCCATAAATGACATTTCAATGGCCTTTACAGGTCATTAGTTTAAGGTTAACTGTAAATTATAACCCTAGAATTATCCCCTCCCTCCTAGATTGTAAGCTCCAAGGAGCAGGGCCCTCGAACCCCTCGTGTATTGAATCGTATTGTTACTGTACTGTCTCGTGTACTGTCTCCCACCATAATGTAAAGCGCTGAGCAAACTGTCGGCGCTATATAAATCCTGTATAATAATAATAATTACTCTCACTTAGACATTCATGGTGATACCTAACATGTATGATTCAATTGCTGTTTTCATATACGTGTGTACCATACACGCATGTTTTCATTCCCGTGTCAGCAAAGGGTGATGGAATTACTTTTTTTTGTTTAATTTGTATTCACTTTATTAGAATTTAATGTTTTTAAAATGTAATTGTTTATTTTCCATTCAATTGTACTGCTACATACATGTGGCCTCCTACACATGCATTAGTTATTTATAATTTAATTAAATGCAATTTAATAAATGTAAGCTTTAATTATTTACATTAAATTATTTATTTATTAATAATTTAATTTCCTTTAATAGCTAACACCTGTAAGTCGTTTTAGCAAGGTTTAAACCGTGCAAATAAAAACTGACCAGCAAAAGTACTACAAATGCCACTTTTGTTGAACAGCTTAGGTGTCCGTTTTTGACACAGAGAATAGCTGCGATTCAACGGATCTCAGCTATTCTCTGGTCATTCACAGTTTATGACACTCAGGAGATCATGTCAGCCCTTCTCTGGAGATCTGTGTTCTCCCTCCAGATTCTCCAGCCCAGAGCTGGAGAATCAGAGGGACCGAAAACTAAGCAGAGATAATTTACCTCTGTTTAGTAAACTGATCTTTTACTGTAATCTCACGAGATTATAGTAAAATCAGCCGTTTTCCAGAGTTTGTAGACCGTTCTCCAGCGTTTGGAGACCGTTCTCCCTTCGTTCAGAGAACTGGTTCATAAACTGCATTCACAGGAGAACTGTGTTCTCCGAGAATGCCGGAGAACTGAGCAGCGTTCTATTACCGCTGGTTCATAAAACGGACACCTCAGTCTGTTACAGGAATGGGAAAAATAATGGATCTACTGGCAAGTAGAAAAACTATGAAAAAAAACCTGCTGTGTTAATGTCGGTGACAGACTGCATCATATACACCATTTTTTATTCTATTACCCTTTAAATTAAAAACAACTCTGCATTGTTTTGACAGTGCAATGTAGAGGCCAATATATGTTCTGTTTTCTGAAAATGTAGCTAATCTGAACTAAATGATTATACCTCTTTTACAGTTCCATACCTCTCAATCATGTATTATTAGAAACTGAACCAACTGTATGCATCTCCAGTAGTTTATGAAAGGTTGCTTGGCCATTCTGACAGCTGGATGAAACCATATTTGATCCTCCAAGATGTCTCGGAATCAGGGGCGGACTGACAACTCATGGGGCCCCCGGGCAATAGGGGATCATGGGGCCCGTGTACTTGCCCAAACTCAAAAAAGCCTATGAAAATAGGTACCAGGGGCATCTCATGGGGCCCCCTACTGCCTCCGGGCCCTCGGGCAGTGCCCGAGTTTCCAAATGGTCAGTCCACCCCTGCTCGGAATTCAAACTGTCCTATCAGGATCAAAACATCCATTATCAAAGGTTTGAGTATGGCCTATCACAACTCTCTCAGCAACATAACATTGAAGTCCTTATTTCTGCGTATTTTTTACCCAGTGTATTTGGTGGCTGTACAGGGTGAGTAACTTCTGAATAGATTTCACAAAGATGCTTATAAAGAAAAATGATGAAGGACAAAAGGGTTTCTTTCTGAACTAATAAAAATGTACAAAAAAATCAAATAAAGAACACAACCTTTGTTACTTTTAAATTTCAAACCATAATTTGCATGAAGTGTTTCCATACTGCATTTACTGTTATAGAGTTTGAGTTTGGACTTTTCACATCCAATATTTTATACACTAAAATAGATATTATTTTACAAAAGATTGCTGAAATTCTTGTCAGTGTATTTTTTTTCTGATTGGATTTAGTGCTGTCACGTGTTTGCTGCTCTGCCAAGTATTTTATTCTTTTTTTTTTTTACTGTGTCAGTAAGTGATCACAAGTAAAAGATTACAGTGATTTGGTTTTATAGTTTCTGAGTTCACAGTTCAGTGCATATGTTAACTGGCTTTCCCAGTATGGCACTTAGGAAGAAGATAAATCAAATATAATTGGATAAAATGGCAAGATAAATAAATTATCCATAACAAGTGGTTTGCAGTCACTGGTGGTTGATCTGAGTGTTTAGCTAGGTAAGTAGCTTATTAGGCACAGGTATAACCAGTTCCCAAAGTCAACAAAACTCAAGATATTGCCCATGCTACAACTTGTAATAGTCAAACATCACTCTGCAATGTTATAAATGATTGATTCTGTCTTTCTTTTAATTCTTGCCGTCGGTATTCTTCTTCTAATCTTTGCTTCTCGGTATTTGTGTAGAATGTGGTTTGTATTTCACTTTTTCTGATTTTATCAAAGTTGCTGAAATCTGCAACATACTTGCCATGCTGGGACAAAGAGACAACCGGAACAAATTCATAGCTCCAGTAGATCTCATCTGGCAAATATGAGGTTCTGCTTTGGCAAACTGTGCTGGTAGATTCCACTGTGGCGTTGAGAAGAACAACAAGTTCAAAGTCTTTTGTCTTTATGTTCTCAGCTGTAAGATCACTCAGTGGGCTTTTTTCATCCAGCACATGATAAAACATTAATGGCAGAATCAAAAAGGGGCTTTCTGAAGAAGAGTCTACATGGAAGCTCATGTTGTCTTGCTTTAGCAAGATCTTCTCCCTTTGGTCTCATAGGTATGAAGCAGCTTACCATAGAGTTGACATTGTATCAGCAAGCTTTTTCTCATGTTGGCCACCTGTACTACCAAACATGTCTTTCCATTGTGTTTTGTGATCACAGCCTTGTTGCTGAATTTAATGGTTTCAGCCCTCTTTTTAGGTCTAGCAATTTTGGCAAGGAATGTACCAGTAATGAAAATTTCTATTAAAGTTGTCAGGACCAGTTGGGCCACAAGTAAGAGGATAGCAACAGGGCACTCTTCAGTAATGAAGCGAAATCCATAACCAATTGTGGTCTGTGACTCCAGAGAAAAGAGAAAGGCACCAGTAAAGGAGTCAACGTTCATTACACATGGAGTATGGTTTGTATTTGGTTCAATGTTGACATCTCCATGAATTAATGCTATCACAAAATATATGATTCCAAAAAAGCACCATGTCAGGAAGAAGGTGGCCGCAAACAAGGTCAGCTTATACCTCCATTTCATGTCAATAACAGTGGTCCACAAGTCTTGGAGGTACAGAAAGAAGACACCCTCCACTTTATCAATCTTGACATTGCTATGTCCACTCTTAGATATCACCCTTGGCCTCTCAGACTTCACTTCATTATGAATCACATTTTGAACCAGTGGGCAGCCTGCGGAATCAGAGTCAATGGTATCCATAATCTTCTCTGGAAGAGCACTAAAGGAGAGAAGAAAGAGGAATGGTAAGCCCCAAAAATATTACCATACAGCAGGGATTCAATTAACAAACATATATTTTGCTAGTTGCCAATTTGTATGAACAGTAAAACTTAATTATAGCACTGTGTATACAAAGGCACTATTACTAACATTAAGATTATGTAAGATTTCCAAGGCATGCCAAAAGGTGCTCCTCCTAGTTTCTAGTCTACGTTTTAAACACATCTCTATCTAAATTATGGTTCCAAACGTAATCCATAATGACCACCAGGGGTCAAAGGGACTATCCCAGAGGTTGTCAAAATGGCTGGGGATCAGTAAGTGACTGGGGGGGTCAATAGGTGGTCAATAAATGATAAAAAGTAAATTGGGATCGATTCATCTTTTGAGATCTCTGTAGAGCTTCAAGCCGGTCCCCTAGTCCTGAAGGTGAGATGGCTTGTGGCAATACAGCATTACTCAAGGTTGGATGATCAGCCACTGAGATCATTATTATTATTTTTATTATACAGTATTTACAAAGCGCCAATAGTTCGCTCAGTGCTGTACATTACAACGGGGGACAGAACAATAACAATACAATACAATGCAAAACATGAGGGGATCGAGGGCCCTGCTCTTTCGAGCTTACAATCTAGGAGGGAGGAGATGGTGGCACAGGAGGAGAAAGCTGTGGGGGATGGAGTGGTAGGAAGAGTGGAGGAGGTCGGCAAGTTAGCAGGGGGTGGGGGAGGCTTCCCTGAAGAGGTGGGTTTTCAGGGTGCGCCTAAAGGACCTTTGTGACCCTCCTGCTTAATGAAGGATATACAGTACACATACGTGTTCACTTCTTTTACTGAGATCACCCCACCCATTTCAAACTCTGTTGTAGAGCCAGTGAGTACACATACTGTATAATGATAGCAGTAGTGCCAAGAAATGTATTACCAAGAATTTAGCAATTTTAACAATGTAATCAACTGTTGATGCCAAGAGTAAGTGTTGAATGTATTCACATACAATATGATTATTATTCATAGTACTACTATAGAAATGTATAAAAATATTTCATATAATAAATGTTGGGAGGAACACAAACAATCTGAAACTTCATGAAAGGGGACAATAAGCGTATAGTATAACTAAAGGCAAAACTTTTTGTTTTGTTTTGGATAGAGTGCAGAGGGATTGGAATGCTTGTCAGTTGTTATAGCTATCTGTTCCCCCATTACGGAGATTCACTCTTTCAATTTGTCCAGTTTGCTTATATCATTAAAAATGAAAGTAAAGAAACCCCAAAATTTGGGTTGTCCCCAGAAAAATAATAGAGGGGGAAATCTTCCAATGGGATCAATAGTTCTGGTGAGGTGGGAGTCCCCAAGGAGTTCCCTTAATGTGCAGGGATTTTCTCTCACTTTCTGTGTAGCTATAGGACAGGAAGTGAAAGGAAACCTCCACAATGGGACACAGATGGCGAAAAAAAAAATCTGACAGGGGTTATTAACGTCCCTTGCTCTGAAAAAAAAAAAGTTTTGCCTATAGTTCTACTTTAAGAGTTTAGGGACACCTGATCTAAACACTTGCTGGTTCACCAACACAGCAACTTATACCAGATTTGGGATTCAAATTCCTCCCATTACATCCAATGTAATGCTGTACAATGAGATTAGTTATCAGGTAGCTTGCGACCAGAGAACCAGTTTATTATTGTTAAGAGTCCTGACACTCTTGTAATGACAGCAACATTACTGTGCAATGTATCTACCCTAACCAGGGGCGGACTGACAACTCATGGGGCCCCCGGGCAATAGGGGATCATGGGGCCCCTGTGTCCTTGCCCAAACTCAAAAAAGCCTATGAAAAAGGTACCAGGGGCATCTCATGGGCCCCCCTACTGATCCCAGGCCCTCGGGCACTGCCCGAGTTTCCAAATGGTCAGTCCGCCCCTGACCCTAACATACATCCCAACAAACTAAAATGTAAGCTTTGTTCAAAACATAATAAATTAAAGATCCAAATCTCAATGCAAATCCAACAAGCTAAACTATTTCACAGCCTTGTTTCTTGCATCCCACTTAAATACAGAGATGGGCAAAACTGAGGGTTTGTATTTCCCTCAACTTTAGGTGAAAATCAGGAGATGGGAAAAACCAGGGCTTTTTTTCAGTGAGAATGGGGGGGGGGGAGAGACGCAGTTCCGGCGCCTTCAGCACCACCAGCACTGAATGTACGTAATGGCAAGGTGTGCTGGGGTGTGCTGGAGGGTCTATTGATGCTGGCTGCTGGGGGATCTATTGTCACTGGAGGGGATCTATTTTTTCATGGTGGTCCATTGTTGCCGGAGAGGGATCTATTAATTCTGGGAGATCAATTGTTGCTGGAAGGGATCTACTGGTGAGGGAAGATATGTGGTTGTTTGCTGGGGTGGTATTTTTTGCTGGGTGGTATTTTTACAGAGTGGGGTCCATTGTTGGTGTGGGTAAATCTACTGTTTCAGCTGGTGCAGTGCGTTACATACAGAGTGCAGGATTCAGGATGCATTGCATACAAAGTGCAGGATTCAGGAGTGCGTTACATACAGAGTGCAGGATTCAGGAGTGCGTTACATACAGAGTGCAGGATTCAGGGATGCGTTACATACAGAGTGCAGGATTCAGGAGTGCGTTACATTACAGAGTGCAGGTTTCAGGGACAGAGTGCAGGATTCAGGAGTGCGTTACATACAGAGTGCAGGATTCAGGGATGCGTTACATACAGAGTGCAGGATTCAGGAGTGCGTTACATACAGAGTGCAGAGTGCAGGTTTCATGCAGGAGTGTGTTTCGTGCAGAGTGCAGGTTTCAGGAATGGGTTACATACAGAGTGCAGGATTCAGGGATGCGTTACAAAGTGCAGGATTCAGGAGTGCGTTTCATACAGAGTGCAGGATTCAGGGATGCGTTACATACAGAGTGCAGGATTCAGGGATGTGTTACATACAGAGTGCAGGGTTCAGGGATGCATTACATACAGATTGCAGGATTCAGGGATGCATTTCATACAGAATGCTGGATTCAGGGATGCGTTACATACAGAGTGCAGGATTCAGGAGTGTGTTTTGTACAGAGTGCAGGATTCAGGAGTTAGTTAAACCGCAAAGGCACCAATTAAACATACACTTACGTTCTAAAATCTTAATTAACAGCATACAGGAGCCGAGGCAAGGATGCCGGCATCAGATGAGTGCAGCCGAGCAGGACCTGCAGCAGTGTGAACATCTAGCACACCCAGGGATTGGCAAAAAAGCCAGTGGGGGTACGGCTGCAATGAGAGAGAGTGCAGCTGTCAAGTCCAACCTGTGATGTCAGAGATGGGCGGGGCCTCTATGCGTTTCAGGGGCTCCACCCCTTTTTAAAAAACAACCTGTTCATAAGTAAATAGCCAGCATTTATACAGTGCCAACCGAGAAAAAGGTGGCAAAGGACAGGACCAATTGGAACTCCTGCATGCGCACTCACAGCGCTGTATAATTCAGGTTTATTATTACCGTGCACATGCAGTAGTTCCAGTAGGTCAGAGGTCTCCAATCTTTCTAAACAAAGGGCCAGTTTACTGTCCTTCAGACTTTAGGGGGGCCAGACCAGAAAATGTCCCGACATCGGTGCGAATAAGCAATGCCCCATCTTTGGCGTTAGTGAGAGGAATTTTGCCCCATCAATGGTGTCATTGGGCTCCATTCTTGGTATCATTGGGATGAACTGTGCCCTATCGTTGGCGTCATTGGTTGCAAATGTGCCCCATTGTTGGTATCACTGGGAGGAATTTGTGGATGTCAGTGGATTAAATAGTCCCACAAGGGCCAGATAAAAGCAAGCAAAGGGTCGCATCCGGCCCCTTGGCCGCAGTTTTGAGACCACTGCAGTAGGTCCTGCCCCTTGTCACTGTCTTCCCTGGACAGCAATGTATAAATACCGGCTGTTTGTCTATGCAGTGCTTGCTTGACAAAGGGGGTGGAGCCCCTGAAACACATATTGGCCCCGCCCATCCCTGACATCACAGGTTGGAGGTGACAGCTGCATGCTCTCTCTCATTGCGGCTGCAAGCCCCGCTGGCTAGCCCACCAATCCCTGACTGTGCTAGATGTGCACACTGTTCACACTGCTGCAGGTCCTGCTCGGCTGGAAGCTAGCATGTAAAGAGTGGATAGAGTAATGCTGGACAAAGTCCCTGTACACCGGGACCGCAGGACAAAGTGGGAAAGTCCCACCCGATCCGGGACTGTTGGGAGGTATGTATAAGTGATTCTGCATTTCCGGGTAGGGGGCCTACCTGTGCTGTCATTGGTTCCTGTACATGTCAATCACCAGTTCCAGCGATTCATGGCTGGGACCTGGGGATCGGTGGAGCAACTGGCAGGAGAGAGATCTGTGAATGTAAACTCTCCTGTCAGCGGGGATGTGCTGGTTTTTATCTCCCTGCAAAACAGAGAAATAAAAACTAGCACATCCCCTAGTAAAACACCACACAGTACACAATAATCATACTCCCTAACACACAATTAACCTGTTGATCATCCCAGATGTTAACCTCTTTCTGCCCAGTGTTATTAGTACAATGACAGTGCTTTTTATTAGCACTGATCACTGTATCCGTGTCGCTGGAGATTTCGGTGGCCTTTAGTAAGTTTCCACCCAGAATCAGTTAGTGTCAGAATGCCCGCCGTATTTATCACAGTCATGCTATAAGTCGCTGATTGCCGCCATTAAAAAAACCCAAAACATTCCGGTATATATACCATTGTTTGTAGACGTGATGGTTTTCACGCAAACCGCTTAATATACCAAAGAAATGTAGCAGAATACATTTTGGCCTAAATTTATAAAAAAAAAAAATGTTTTATTATATATGTTTTATAGCAAAAAGTTAAAAATATTGTTTTTTTTTAAGTTTTTAAAAATACATTCTTTTTTTTGTTTATAGTGCCAAAAATTTAAAATAAAAACAGCGGTGATCAAATACCA